GATTTTATTTGAGGGAAAACTTTGAAACCTAAGTAATTATCAGATGGCTATTAAAACAAAAACCCCAAAAAACGAACCCACTGTCTGAGAAGACATAATATAGGAATCAAATAAGCTGGTGGCATTAATCTGCAAATTCTGTGTGTACTGCTCTGGTATCTGGAACATAATTATCAAGCTTAAGTTAATTAGACTAATGCTCAGAAAATCTGGCCTGGCAGCTTGCTGTAAGTAATTATATATACTGATTAAAGATGTAATGCACTGTGAGCAGAGGCACAGGAAGCTCCATTTGACACACAGCCTGTGCACATATACAATGAAGAATCCATGGAAAAGAGTGTCCACGATGAGAAGGAACTTTGTAGAAACTGGCAGGCATCCTGCAGGGTGAGGTCTGCAGGGTGAGGTGACCGCCCCCCCCCCCCCGCCAGTGTAAGACGCGAGGGCGTCAGGACGGGGCTGGCGCAGGAAAGGGACGTGGCCGTGGGCACTCCCCGGTGGAGCACAGACAAAACAGTGGCCTGGCCGCCACTCTGTTGTCTACATTTTCTCTCAAGCTTTTCCTTCAAAGGAGGATCAGCTGTGGGACCACTGAGGCCAGCCTCCGTGGTGATTTTCCAGCCTCTGAAGAAATGAAATTGTCATTAATGACGGATCACAAGGAAGGGTGGGATGCTGACCTCCAAGTGGGCACAAGCGTATCTTTCATTTGCCTCCTGCTCACTGTGTGTTTTTCTCCCCAGTTGTCCCTGAAGGAGGGGAGATGCCACTGGGAAGTCATTGTCACAGACCAGGGATGCCCACAGCTCGGCTCTCTACTCAGAGCCTTCATAAGTTTATTGTCCTCTTGAAATACAATTAGGTAAAACTAGTAAAGTTTCGGGTTGATGCGGGCTGCAAAGAAATCTTGGTTTGTCCTGTGTCGTCCTCCACAGCGTCTTGTCTCCGTTTCTGCATTAGCGTTACAGCATTTGGCCTAGAGAACGTAATCACAGCCTTCCTTGAGGAGTGACGGCGGTGGTAACTGTCTGAGTATCTGTTATGGTTGGTTTCTTGCGACAAGAAGTGTTCCGTGGACACCTGTTATGTTCCTGGCTCCAGTTTTGTAAGGTCGCTGCTAAGGTATTAGATTGAACCATGTGGCATTGATGTTTTGAAAGTTAAGGAAAGACTGAATATTGTTAATGAGCAGTGGCTTTCGGCTCACAGAACCTATAGGTTAGTGGGGAAGACAGACACATGGGAAAGCGCTCACAACAAAATAAACGTCCTGAAATGGAACCTCATAAAAGGGCCCCCGAGTAGAGCCGCGGGGGAACGGGGGAAGCGGTGTGTTCCATGTGCGAGGCTGGTGGTGACAGATGAAGCAGGTTGTTTAAAGAACCACTTCTACTTAAATAGGATGGAAATAGTGCAAGGAGCTGAGAGATGAGGGTAAAGTAGTAAATGAGGGCCTGTCACACCAAGAAAGCCGTGTCAGGGATCAGTGATTCTGGACCAGAGCATAGACAGCAAGGGTGAAAAGTCTGAGCTGAAACCGCGCTGGCCCGTTACCCAGAATTTAATTTCTGCTTTTGAATAAGGGATCCTCCAGCACGCGCGTCCTCAGTTGCGATGTCCCGTTGCAGGAACCACATGCAGGCCACCCGTGTTGTTTTTAATAGAGGGTCCTTTTTTGTAGAGAAACATGTTGAGTCTTTCAGCCCAAGACTGCAGGAGACTTAAGCAATTCACTTAATTTCTCTGAACCTTTGTTTCCTTCTCTGTAAAACGGGGACAACAATGTTATGCCTCTTGCCCACCCCACCGTTGATCCAAGGAGATTCTGTAGGCAACAGGGCTTTGGTTTTGATTCCTCAGACTAGTCCCCAGTGCGTAGCAGATGCTTAGTACTGTTTTCTGAGAGAGGGGATGCAGGTCCCACCACCCACGAGCTGTAAGATCGCATCTCTGAGCCTTAATTTCCTCACCTGCAAGTGGAGAAGCCGGCACCATGAGGCAGGTACTCTGAGGAGGATGGAATGAGATCACCTCCGTACCTGGTACTCAGCAGGCGCTCATCAGAGCTCTGCCAATAATAACAAAAGTCGCAGAACAACAGAATGATGCTGTCTGTAATCCTGGGCCCCCACCCTTCTATGTCTCCACTTCCCTAGAGCAGAAGGGCCCCTAGTATTGGACCAAGAGCATCCCACCTCGGCCAGGGGTTCATTTTCCTTAAAGCAGTGTTTGCTTCTCGAGATTCAGCTGCCTTTTGGCTGAAAAAAATTAAGTCTCGAATCTGACTTGCTTTATAAGTAGATGAGTCGCCCCTCCACCTGAGGCTCAAATAACCATTTGCAAAGTAGAAGGACAGTCAGCAGGTTGTTTTGCCTCTTGGATGGCAAAAAATTAGTTTGCTTGATTTTTAAACATTTTCCATTTTGGCTTCCAGTAGACACAGGCTGAGTAACAAGTTAGGAACCAGTCGCAGATGTTGGACGGGTAACGTGGCTACTGTGCTTCAGTCTAATGTCAGTGAGCGGGAGTCAGATGTCACCAAAAGCAACCGTTACAGTGGGAGAGGCACAGTGTCGCTTGGAAATTAATGACTTTTTTCAACATCGTGTCTGTGTTTCCAACCTAAAGAGCGATCAGCATCCGTTTCGTTGCCCCCACTGGTGGGCAGCAGAAATGGAGCTTGAACCGCAAAGCCCCTAAAGTGCAGGCTTGGCGTGGGAATCGGCATAAAGAAGAGGACTATGAAATGTAGGAAGCGTGTGAAATTTATATTTCTACCACAGACATGTTTATTAAAATCCCAGCAAGTATTACTTTTGCTTTGGAAACAGGACATAAGAGCAAATTTACGGAGAGGAGAATGTTTGGAGGACTGTCTCACAGACGTAAAGCTCTGAAGGCAGAGCAGGTTTAATTAAGAACAGCGCCCTGTGTGAAGTGTTAGACCCAAAATAGATCCCGGGCTGGGGGATGCAGTGAAGGGATAAATCAATTCCAGACATCTGGAATCCAATTAATGACTTCAGTGCTTCTACACAGCAAACGCTATGTTGTAATTCTTACAGAGGCTCCCGGGATGGAAGCAGGCTTTCCGGAGTGAGGGGAGTGGCAGCCATCCTGTGTTGTAATCCCGCCTGCTGCCCACGGACGGTCATTTCTGTTTGCTTTCATTCAGGGCCTGCTTTTAGACAGTTATGTAAGCAGTTACAGTTAATGGCTAATGAGTATCTTCACACCCCATCACGCAGAACAAAGGCCACGATTTTGATGTCCTACATCTAACCATGTCATAGGCCCACACTCCATCCTCTCCCCTGCCTTCCCCTCACCGAGCTCTCCATCACCCTGAGTCCCTTGGTCCCTACTGCTTCACTTCTTTTTACAGCGTTTTAGGCATCTCTATGTGTTCCTAAAAAACAACTCAAAAACATTTACTTTCAACTTTGTAAAAAAGCAAAAGATCATGCTGCATATTATCTTTTGGGAATAATTTTTTCCTTAATAGTGTGTTATTAAGATTAGTCCATATGGCCTAATTGTCTATCAGATAAGTATTATGGTCACCGTGCAATATTCTATGATGTGAATGTATCCCATTGTAGTCATCTGCTTTCTGAAGACCAGTGGTCATGTCCTGGGTTTTGCTATTTTAATCAGAGCTTCTTTGAAAATTCTCACGTATGTGAGCAAGAGTGCCTCTCAGGTGCACTCCTGGGTGTGGGATTGCTGGGTTGGAGGGTGCTGTCAATGTCAACTTCAGGAGGTAATGCCAAACTGTTTTCCTAAGAGGTTGCTTCAATATACTCTCTCGCCAGCAGTGCCAGAGCACCCCTGAGGGTTTATATCCTCTCTAGCCCACGGGTTTGCCAGATTTAAATGTAGCTCAAATTCACTAATACTCAAAAGTAGTATTTTTTTTACATGAACTTGACCTTGTGCTCTGTGACTCTTAAGAGCTGAAGCTAGGACTCGAGGGTAGAAGTTGGGGGAAGGGAGATGGCAGAACAGTCTCCTAGCACAGCTGCGAGGGTCAGGCTGTCTGGCGGAGCAGTAACACGTTCACCCTGGAGCCCTGCAGCCAGGGCATGAGCGCCCCTTGGAAGCTCTATGGCAGAAGGGATATAGATGTCACCTTGCGGTTTGGACCGGAGATTTTTAAAGAGCTGTCTTGAACCCTGATTCTAGGACGAGGCATTTTTCAAGTATTCCTTTTTGGACCTTTAAGTAGGTACTGAAATTATAAGAAGCTATTTTAAAGCATTCTGATCTTTTATCTTTTAAAACCAACCAAATTCGTTTAAACCCTTGAGCAGCATTGAGGTGAGATTAATTAAAAGATTAGGTCTCTTAAAAGATTTTTATGGGTTTTTCATTCATGAAGTTATAACTCCCAACAATATTTTCAGCTTTAATGGGAAGAGCAAAGATACTAATATTTTAAAATCAAGCCGTATATACGTGAGCCAGGCCTGGGGTTTTTGCATGTGTGTGTGTGTTTATGGTGCCTCGGGAGCATCTCAGTAATAAATAATTGGGAGGTGCACAGTAGGAAGCTGAAAAAGGTGAGGGTATCTCTTTTCTAGCCTGATGCTTCGAAATAGTCATGTGCCTGGCGTTGCATTTTAATTTTTCACTGACAAAGCAGGGTATGTGCGTGTCTGAAGTCGCCTTACATCTCTATCGTCTGTGCTGATTTTTGGATTATGGTCACTTACAGGGCATATAAAAAGGACAATTGAGCCCATAACAAGGTAATCTCTGTTTCTTTCCTTTTAAGCCATCGGGTATTTAAAAAGTTTTACAGGCATTGGAAATCGTCTGTGAGAAAGATCCGCTATCATGCATGGTAAGCTGGTGTTTCAGCCTCATCCAAGGCCTTATATCTTCATTAAAGAAGGTTTTTAAATGAAATAGAGGCATTTGGGAAAGGCTGGCTCCTAATTTGTTTGTGCAGCTCACACGGGCCAGGTTCTTTGAAGGGCCCTGGAACAGCTCCATCGGAAATGAATGGATTTGTAAGTGACAGAGGGGAGGTTACTGCCAGGGGGTGCGCTGCCCCTTCAGAAGGTGCGGTTTTGTAACCAGAGGCAGAACGAGTGCCTCGTGGAAAGAAGGAAGCAGGACCAATCCAGCAGGGTGGTGATCACGTAGCCTTGGAATATAGGTTTTTCTGTTGGTCATTTCTCATCTGCCAATACGTGGGTCCCGGTGCCAGGCCCCTGGCTGGCTGGCTGGCTGGCGCCAGGGGCGCTCCTTTAGCCCTGCCAACCATATGGTGGACATTCGGAGAGAAGTTGGTGAGGTCAGCCCGGGTCCTTGCTGCTCCGGGGTGCTCGCCACCTGTGCAAATAGCTTGAGCCTCCCCTGCTTTGCTGTGGAAAGTTTCCCTTCAGCGGGGCCTGATGTTAAGGTGAGGGAGGGACTCGGTAAGCAAACCTCAGGCCAGACGGCAGCGCTGCCCAGGCTCAGAGGCAAAGCTGGGCCCAGCTGCTCTTCTCCGTGCCAAGTCTGGGCTTACTGCCTCTTCACCCAGCTACTGTTCTAAGCTGAGCAAAACGTCGGTGCGGAACAAGGGTGACGTGAGCAGTGAATCACCCGTCCCTCATCTCTGGCAGCATTTGCGCCTCTGGGCCTGCAGGGAAGGGAGAGCCGCCCGCTCCTCCCCCTCTCGCCTTCTCGTTGGTCGCTTCCTCACCATCTCCAGTCACTGGCCTCCAGCAGGTTCACCGCTCGTGCAGGTACCCTGTCCTTCCCGGGGATCTGCACTGTGTGATCGGCCCTGACCGTGCTGCCTAACAGGGTTCTCTTTATTACTCTCTCGTGGTAGTATCAGATTTCAGTCCTTGCTAAGCTGCTGCCTTCTCTCCTCAAGCGTAAGCCTCCTGAGCCCACTCAGGCCCGTCCGGCTTGCTGACCACTGTGAGGTGTGATGCATGGGGTCAGCTCGTGGTAGCCACGTTACTATTTGTTGAATCCTCGAATGAGTTCTGCAGAGAAACGAGCTTCCGCTGCTTGAGGGAACCCATATTTGCAACCCCCTAACCTAGTTCTGCCTCTCCAAATGGGTTTTATTTTGAGAGCCCAGGTGTTGCTGCCGGGAACATTGTGTTAAGTAGGATTCTGAGGCCATGTTGATGGCGGTATATTGCTGGTTGGTTGTGGGCTTAGCCTGTGTGTTGTATATTTGCTTAGCATCCTCCGCGGGGATGGCTATCTAGTCTGGATCGCATTTCTAAAGGTTCTGTAAGGTGTCTCTGAAAAAAGAGGAGAAAAAAAGCAGCAAATATGAAATAAAGTGTTCAGGAGATTCCAAGGAAGCCAGAAATGGGCCCTTTGCCTTTTCCCTTCCGTCACTGTGAGTACCACAGGGCGACCTCACTCTGGGAATAAAGGAGAACCCTCTGGCTCAGACACCAATATCCTCAGCACGGGAGACAGGCTTACGGAACACGGCAGGCTGAGGAAATTGGTTTTTGAATAAATGTTTCCTTCTCCCAGTTTTGCTTCATCACAAACCTCCCTTTCAGAAGGTGTTTCATTGCCTTTCTCCGTGGGCATGTTTTTAGAAAGAGGAAGCCCTGAGGATATCAAATTGGTTGAAACTGCTAGTGCCAGTGGTGTCACCAATGCCCGATGCACTGGAAAATCAGGCAAGCGCAGGCAGGGTGGAGCCTGGGGCAAGGGGCGGCTGATCAGCAATTATTTACTGAAAACTGCCCTGGGAGACGACTCTCCCCAGGCCCAGCCGGACCCTGATCCCAGCTCAGAGGCTGATCTCTATTTGCATATTTGGTTCTCTTTTCTGGGCCGTTTGATCACCCATGTTTAAAAAGATGTTAAACTGAAAGAAAATTTCCAAGAATTTCCTGAGTGAACCTAGGAGTGCACTGGGAGCCAGCGGACGGTGTGTCTAACCCAAACGCTGTTCCCCATGAGCCACGTGATGTTCCTAAGAGGCTCAGATGTTTCATCTGGAAAATGGGAAGGATGGACCTGAACAGTCAGTACATGGGGAGGGAAGGCGTAATTTAGAGACCTGTGTGACAAGTGCTTCTTGGACGCCTACCCGGCAAGCGATGAGGACACAAAGATGAGTGTTACTGTGATTTGTACCATGAACACGGGAGCTAGATGGAGGCTTTTTACAGTTGGAAGAGCAAAGAACGTCTGGGTGGCTGATTGGTTTCTCTACCAAACCACGATCGCCACGCTCTGTCCTAAGGGGATTTTCGTCTGAAGTGCTAAGGCCAGCTGCTAGGCAGGGCCGGGTTCATCCCTGACAAACAGGAGGCTCAGTCCAGTAAGCTGTGAGGAAAATGGTAGCGGGGGTCCTGAAGGGCAAGCCGTTTGCCC